GGGGGGGGGGCAAAAAGTCCCAAAAAGGTGTAAGATTATATTTGAACAGCCCCAAAACACTCTGGTCACACCTGCCCAAGGTCAGCGGGAGTTTATGGACCTGACGCATGTGTCAGGGGACAAACCGTTTTTGTAGATCATACAGCCTCTGCATTTTTTTGTTGTTGTTTTGTTTCGTTTTTGTAGACATTCACATTTAAATTTTGATTTAGATCTAACGAAACTCATGTTGGTTACTTTAATTGCAATGAGCATACCAACAATGTATTCCAATAATTCCATACGACATTTTTTTAGCTATACACGTCTTGCAACTTTTTGCAACTTTTGCTATTTTCAAATGGAACTTTCTCTGAGGACAGAATATGATTGATAGCCGGTCAATTTCACAAACCACGAGCTGCCCCTGCAGTTTGTGCATTAAAAACACAGTGTCGCCATACAAATAAAACCAATATTCCTACTGTGCTGTCGTTATGATGGAAAAAAAAAGAAAGAAGAACAAGCGTCCTCTGATTTCTAGATTGTCGGGCCTGTTATCGTGACCTGTCGATGAACCTGTGCGTGTTTGCATACCTGCGGTTAGAATTGTTCGAGTTGAACTGTCGAGTAAACCTGTCAGTTAAACGAAACATGGTGTGTATCCACACCGCGCCAGTAGACAGCAAAACATTCCCTTGTTGTCATGGCGGAACATGAGCAGCACACTTGAACTTGTCAAATACAATGAATATGGAAAAATATAATTTTGTAAATGAGCAGTACATCGAGCAGTGTGCCCGTGGACTTTGTTAATTTTGACATGCTGAGTTAAAAAATATGATTATTTTTATCATCAGAGTGATATTTGTGTTTCTAACGTGTTAACATTTTCTTCCCGGCTGAAAAAGAATCAAAGTGACTCCACTTTCCTGTTGCAAGCCCTAGAAATATTTAACATGTCTAATGTCGAACTGAAGCCAGTTAAATTGACATTGTTGCCCAGACAGTCCGAACTACTCCAATACACAACGCCCATTGAACTACACCAAGCCTGTTCGAGTGAATCCGGCGAGTCTAACTGCAGATGTGTAGCGGGCTTAATGGGCCGGCGGTTGTTGGGGTAATCAAAGTTCATTCAAAGTTGGAGCGTTACGGGGCTTCTGAATGTGTGTGTGTGTGTGTGTGTGTGTGTGTGTGTGTGTGTGTGTGTGTGTGTGCAATAGTCTACAGCAGCAGGATAAGGCTGCAATAAAAGAAACTGAACCTTAATAAAAACGATAAATGGAAGTGGTGCTCTTAGGTTTTGACATTCGACAATCGAGCGCGTTAATGAGGGAACAATAGAGTATAACTGGCTTAGTGATTGTATTGTTCCCGGATTTGCCGGATTTGTCAATGATATGATGACAAATGAAATAGGTCGGGAGCAATGAAGAAATGCCATTTTCAACCCTCGGAAAACTTTAAATTATGTCAATTTTTTTTCCGGGGCTTCACTCCCGACACCCCAATGGACCTTGCTGGGGGCTCATGCTGGAGGAAGAAAAAGAGAAATAAGCATCTTTTTTAGTTGTATTTGAACTTACTGGAGGATGAGATCTGGAAACTAATTTTTATGATTAGAAATTAAAGTGCACTGTGCAACATAGCACCCCTATGTTGGATGCCTATGCATCATGATGGCTTGTTACTGATTAAAAGTGGTTCTAGGATTTAGCATTTTGAAAAAAAATCAGTACTTAGTCCATGATGCAGTGATTGCCAAGTCTTCAGCATCATTACATCCCACGCTCTCACAGTCTTTCCAGCTCCGGCTGTCATTTTTTGCTCTGTCGTGAAAAGGTTTTCTTTAAATAACTTTTGTCTTGCATGCTTTTTAACTCTTTCTGGACGTATCGCCGATATATCGGCTGTGATAGGGTGCTTCAGTATTGTTTCGTTTTAACACGTTCCGTCATTTATAATTACTTTTTATTGCTATTGAAAAACTCAGAAAGGATTTAGGAATTGAAAACATCTTAGTTTCACTTTGTCAAAGCATGGGTTTATGGAAAAACGAGTGAATTAGTTCTTGCAGTCTTGCATCAACAAAACGATGTAACCGGACTCAGTATAAATATCATAACTCAAACTAAAATTGGAATATTGCTTTCAAATAAAAAGCTGCGCTTTCAGAAATTTATGGATTATGCTCTTGGCCTGTATATGGTAAGATAGCTATGGTGATTTGCTTTCACATGTTTGGTGAATGTAAATTTTTCTGTCAAAATTTATTTTTCTCATCACCATCGCCATTTCGAACCCTTCTAATGCATACCTATGTTCAAAATTAATCCTTGTTTTATATTGGGATGTATTCCTCATATGTTACGTTTGGAGTGATGGTTATGCTTCTATGAAGTTATTTTGTACACCACCTGCATAGCCAAATTGAGCCACAGGTTAATTATGACTAGACCCCAAAAAAACTACATCCGGAAAGAGTTAAAAACCGTGATTTGCTGAAACCCAAACATGGTTTAGTTTTTGCAGTTGATGTACCGGCCTGTCCACGACAGTTGCAGTGCATCACAAGCAGTAGGGACACATGTGTAAACTTGAAATTAATCGTTTGTCTGACATGGCTACATTTGATTTCTCTGATGTCTCTGACACATTTTTCAGCATTGTCAGTGGGTCACTTGTGTCATCCTCTGCCAAATATCGTGACCCAATCACAACTACATAACAACACCATGAATGTCTGCTGCAGACACTTCTGTGGTTGAAAGATCTTAAGACAAAAAGAACGATGTAAAAGCATACCATGAGTCAGTGGGTGGATCTACAGCATGAAGGCTTTGTAAGGTCTTGTGACAGACATTGTGAATGTAAAACAAGGAGTTGATTACGTAATCACAAATCGGTGCAATCAAGATGCACTTGAAAATTTGTTCTAAGTCATCAGAGGAAAAGGTGGACTTCATAACAATCCAGACCTCCAGCAATTCCGTTTTTAGTTTGAGACAGATAACGGTCGACAAATTTATGATCACATTGCCTTCAAGCAATTGCGGGGATTATGTGGATAGCTTTTTGATAAATCTAAATACAGGGTGATAAAAAAACCCTGAACAACTAGTTTTGTAAATATTTTCCTCCATATTGAAGTTTTGCGTTTCAGTTTTGAACATAACATTTGAAAACCTAAAGGAATTTATCGGACATTCATGTTAGATAAGTCCATTGAATGATTTTGCTCTATATGGCGCATTAAAAAAACAACCCATTTTCAACCTTGTCACCGTTTACATAGCATGACGCACCAGTTCGCATTTGGCCTACCACTAAAAGTTGCAACAATCGCGCCATATTGCAAGCTATAGAAGTCTTAACAAATCAACAGAAGTCTGCAGATGTTATTTTTCCCAAATTTTGTTTGCCTGCTGAGATCATGGCTACGTTTAGTAAAGAGCAGTTCTGCGCACAGCATGGAGAGAATGCTTAGGTGCCCTCAAGACCTTTGGCGTCATTAGTAGAAAAGTTCCGTCAGTTTGGATCTCTGGCGAATCAGAAGTAAAAATTCCTTTTAAAATGACCACTTCAGGTCGAACACGCATCATGGACAGCCCTTTAGAAAGAGAGAGAGAGAGAGTGAAACGTCGCAAGGGTGCAGATTTCAGTAGTTGAGTCCCATGAGACGTCTGTCCGTAGACGATCCGCAGCTAGGACTGTCCTACACCTCAACATTCGTATTCTCATCTGTACCATTTTCATCTTTGCTAGGCCAAGATAACATGGATCAGAGCATGGCAATGTGTTCATGATTCCTCGATTGTCTTGAAAAGCGGGATCATTTTTTCGGTAACATTTGTGTCACAATGCGGTGGAATCAGGTGCTCTTCAATTTTGGGACATTTCGGGTTATTGGTATCATCTTAAAGCCTTGTTCGTTTGCCTTGCTTTTTATGAAAAAAATATCCCTTTATGTTGGGTACAAGTCAAGATATTTGCGATTGAAGTTGAAGGAGGTGGGGGTCGCCTGGTGAGGTAAAATTAGCGAGAAAATGGCCCCCAAAGTTGAGTTATTTCATTAGCTTGAGAGTCCGTGGAATTTGAAAGTTTATATCTTTTCTGCTTTTCATCAATGTTTTTCAGTTAAATCCATACAGAAATATGTTCTTTAATGGGCATGAAAGGTGTTGAGCCAAAAATAAAAAATTTGATAAAAATTCCCAAACCTGCCAAAAAATGTCAATTTCTTGGCTTTCATTATTTTGACGAGCGCCTGATTTCACAACGCTGCCTCACATTTGGTTTGGTGCAAAGCCCATTTTCACCCTGCTGGATATGTTAACTCCAAAAATGCTGTCTATTGGGCACCCCAATACCTATTGTCTCTAGAAGCCACTTGATACTGAATATGTTCAGTGTTTGTGGCTTTAAACACTCATGGTTTAGCAGGTCCTTGTGTTTGGGCGCCATTGAACTTTTCGAACGACGTGTTAAAAATGTGTTGAGTCCAAAGGAGGGCATGTAGAGCACTGCTTGTAGGAATTTCAGAATGAAATCGCTATTTTTTAAAAACTCTGTAAAAGAAATTAAATATTGTTTAAATGTTACAGGCATGGAAAATTAAATGTCAAAGAGAAAATAAAGGAAAAAGCCAACTAATCTTTTCACTACTTCCTTTACAAGATTTTTAAAAATTGGAGAACTTTGTGTTTTTGGGTGCTTTTTTTCTTTAAGCCATTTCCGTTTTCAAAATAAGTTTCTTCTACATGGATTTTATGTCAAACAAATTCCTTTAGAATGAATTATGTCTGTTCCAAATTATAGCACTCTGGACTATTTTTAACTGAGACAGATGTAAAAGCAAGAACCGCTAAGGCAAGGTCAGCATTCAATCAATTATCAAAAGCCTGGAAAGCAAGCAACATCTCACTGCACACCAAGATTCGACTTTTTAACCCCAACGTCAAGTCTGTGTTCCTCTACGGCAGTGAAACTTGGAAGACAACAAAGACAGTGCTGAATAAAGTCCAGATTTTCATCAACAGATGTATGAGGAGTATTCTAAGAATTATGTGGCAGGATAGAATAAGAAATGAAGAGCTATCGGAAAGGACAGGACAAAAGGATATAGAAGTAGAAATAAGACTAAGAAAGTGGCGCTGGATGGGACACACCTTCAGAACGCCCAGCGGAAACATCACAAGACAGTCACTGCAATGGAACCCACGGGGAGCACGAGGCAGGGGTAGGCCACGAGAGACATGGAGGAGATATGTGAAAGGCTGTCCTCAGAGAAAGTTGCATTTGAAAATAGCAAAAGTTGCAAAAAGTTGCAAGAAAAATTAGCAAAAGTTGCCAGAAAAGTTGCAAGACGCGTATAGCTAAAACAATGCCACAGAACTATAGGAATACATTGTTGCTATGCTCATTGCAACCAAAAGTAACCAATATGAGTTTTATTAGATCAAAATCAGAAGTTAAATGTGAATGTCTACGAAAAAAAACAACTGCATGGAGGTTGCGTGGTGTACAAAAACAGTTTGTCCCCTGACACATGGGTCAGGTCCTGGCACTCTCGTTGACGTTGGGGAGGTGTGACCAGCGTGGTTTTTGGGCTGTTCAAATATAATCTTACACCTTTTTTTTACACTTTCCTGCGCCCCCCCCCCCCCCCCCCCCCCTCAATCCCGTTATATTACGTTATTCGCTTATAATAACATGATAGTTATAATGCGCAAATCCGTATTACAACCACTCTTCTCTGCACTTTACTTTTAAATTATTAATTATAGTATTCATGAAAAACATGTATACACACATGCGACATAATAATTAAATACGGTACAAGCGGAACTTTTCGAGAAAAACTTCAGGTGTCATTTTACCATTTTAACCGCACCAGTGTAATCAAAATTAGACTAGATCTACATGTCATGTAGCCCAGATATCTACCTGTGTATAAAGTTTCGAGATGACATATTATATATATCGTGCTTGCCGCTCGAGGTCCACTGTATCGCCACAATGCAGTGCTTACAGCTCGAACTTACTCTAAGTGAATAGTGTAGTAACTCTTTGTCATAAATTATGTTTTCCTTGATTATTTTTTCACCTTATAAAAGTGTAATCTTACATTGGTTCAACCCCCCCCCCCCCTCTTGCACTTTACTTTTACAAGAGTCAAACCCCCCCCCCCCTTTTTTTTTTTCCCGAGGTGCAAGATGATAATATTGATATTATTTGAACGTCTCCTTTAGGGTTTTTCTGGATGAATCGATCCATGTCTAGATTAGCCTCCTAGCCTAAGATTTAAAGTCTTTCATAAATGTTTATACTAGATCTATCTAGCTGGTGCTACGGAACCAAGCAAGCTAAGTAATCAGACGACCGTGTTTACGATTGATTTACCCTAGATCTAGAACTAGCAAGACTAGAAGATGATTCAGTCCAAACGAGACTATTGGGGAGTTGGGTCGGGTCGGTTTGCTCGCCAGATTGATTGATGGTGCAAAGCGGCTATCGTGGCACAAGTCGATCGCGCCCGACTCATGACTCGTTGTTTCAAAACAAACACGTTGTTTTCAGACGACGAGCCGGGCGGGCCGTTATCCCGACCCGACCTGACCCGGTCCGGGTCACTGGGCGGCGGCGGGCACCCCGTAGTGCAAAGGAGCGAATTGTCCCCCTTGGCGTCGTTACTTTTAGTCGTGGAAGAAAATTTCGGTGTTTTTAATGACATTTTATTATTATTTTCCCAAAATTTGCCGGAAATTGGCTAAATTTAGCGAATTCCCGAAAATGATAAAAGTTGCGCTGAGGACAAAAGTTGCTCGCGCAACTTGCGGGTTGTGGGCGCGAATTTCTCTGAGGACAGGAAAGGGACATGAGAGAGATGAAGATCACTTGGAACAAGCTAGGAAGGATGGCCCAGGATAGAGATAAATGGAAGGAGCTTGTATATGGCCTATACCCTACCTGGGGTGAAAGGCATTGATGATGACTATTTTTGTGCGAGATATTCAGCTAGAGCTCGCTCGTTCTCTCCCGCTGTATCCGAGTTCAGGATTTTCCTTGCCCCGCTATATCCAAGCTTAAGTTATTGAATTTACATAGGAAAAAAAGGGGGATTCTGGTAATTTCCACTGTAAGGGGTGTGCGGCAAGTCATGTTCTACTCTATAACTCTAAAGAAACAGAACTGTTCTCCAATCTCCCCTTCTACAACTTAACAAAGCGATATATAGGGAAACCGCAATGGACTCATGGGTGTCTTATTGAGTTTTAGACAGCCAATCACATGCCACCTAGTGATCATGATCATGTGCCTTTTGCATGCTGGCAGGTTAGCTTGTTCAGTTTGTGACACAGTTTACGGCTCTAGTCTTTTATCAGTGGGTCAGTAGTAAGTTTTAAGTTGATACGTAAAATGTACAACACACAGAGATCTGAACCTTTACAGCAATAAAGAAGACATGTGAAGTGCCTGTCTGGTTGACGTCCATGCAGCAGCGCCTCTTAGTTTTTGCAAAAACGGAACAAAATTGCACACACAGCAATTTTTCCTATTCATTCTAGAAGGCTTTGGACACTCGCATCATGTAGTAAGTTTGGCCTTTCCTTTTGTTGTTCACCAAGTTTCATTTATTTTCCTCCTCACGTTTTCCTGTGAAGAGAGCCACCTCTGATCCCGAAAGGCCCAAAAATTACCCTCACGCAGAGCCTGATTTCCGGCTTAAAGCACAGCAAACGATTGACATTTCGACCTTTCCGTTGCTTTCTGGATTCGAACCTGAGACCTATTGAATGAGGGACGACCACCATAACAACTTCTCGACCACCAGAGCCCCCCTATCGTCAGTGATGTATTTTTATAATTACCAAGCCTACAATTCATGTGGAAGAAACATGCCACGTGTCTGGCTGGTTTGTGCCAGGTTGAAGTCTCTGGATATATATAGATTTTTTTACAGGCAGTTGAGCAGGAAAGGTTTATAATGTTTTTTTAATCTTAAAATAATTTTTCAGGTCCCGTTTGCCAATTTGCTGACAAAATTCAATGGTGTAACAGAGAAGGAGTACAAAAGTCACAAAGACAGCACAATGAAAAAATTTGAGCTGACTCGGCTACCACACTTCATTATCATTTATTTCAAGGTATGTGTTCTTGTTAGTTTTTTTTCACTTATCATCATCTATTTCAAGGTATACGTCTTAGGTTTGTTGTAGTTCTGCTTATCAGCATCGTCTGTTTTATAATATGATTCTTCTCAATGGTTGATTCACCGATGCCATGCTCATAACTGTGCCTGAACTGAAACAGGGAACTGCTGCTTTTTCTTTCCTTATCCTTACTACGTAATTTTTTCCTCTACTTCTTTTGTATGTTTGTCACACTCTTGTGACCCGCTATTTCCGGGGTGCCTTGATAGTCAAAACAGACTTTGTGCTGTTGAAGCTAGAGAGGTGAGCAGAGTAAGCCTGATTGCTGGTATGGACTTCTCTGTTGACATCCTCCCCTTGGCGCTCGTATGACCTTATGCAGTTGCGAGTGCCGTAAAAACTCTACTAAAACTAAAAGTAAATCTAAGGTCAGATCTGCCATTGTAAGGGAAAACAATGAATGGTCAACATTTTTCAGTTCTTTAAATTTTGACCTATTTCATAGAATATTCAATTCTGCACCCGACGGTTTAAATATTTTTGCCATATTATATCTAATTTGTTGTTGCACAATTGAGAGTTCGTCGTTTTCCCTTACACTGACCAGCTCCGAGCCACAGTGCAGTGTAAGGGAGAATGACAAACGGTCAATCCGTCAAGGCTCACTGCTCATTTGGCATTGTCCCCTGGTCTGTCCCCTGGTCTCTGCCGTGGGGAAAATTCAGCATGGATGGCAAATGGCAGGTGGTGACTGTTGCGTCAACGTACTAGGCGTTTTTCGCAAACAACAACTAACCATTTTTTTTGCTCCTGCTACATGCACAGCCAATATCTGGAACAAACCACACTGATACTGCAATGAGAAAAGTGCGTACGGGCTTGGTACATTTCATCAGCGTCAAAAAAGGATCTATCAGTGTGCCTGGCCACAAATCTTACATAAAAAGTAATCTTTTCACGAGATGATTTATGTTTGTCAATCAATAGATAGATCCTTCATCTTGCCTTTGATACGCTTTTCAAAGTGTTTAATTTTAAAAAGAATAGAAGTTTTTTTCTTCTCTCCTCTGAAAAATTCTGCTTTTAGATCCCTTGACATTTTAATAGCTTGCCGATGATAAATTTTACTGTATAAGGCTTCAATTAACATTTTCTATGTTTTATAATTTGCATTCTATTTGTATCCATATATATATGAAGTACCTGAAATTTAAAAAAATATTGTTGTTGTCTTTTCTTTTTCAGAGATTTAACAAGAACTACTTTGTGTTTGAGAAAAACCCAACCATTGTGAACTTTCCTATCAAGTAAGTGCTTTTTAGTGTTTAGTTCCTTCAATTTTCAAGAAAACCTTTTTTTTTTTCAGTGGTGGTTGATCGTTGATCGATATCAGTGGTGCAGCAGTTAAGCACTTATCTGTCGTGTACAAGAAACCCAAGTTGGATTTCCAAGTGGGGAGAAATTTTTATTGAGTATTGCAGTCTTTCTGTTGCATCCCTCTCATTCTGGGTTGGCCTTGATAGGCAGGGTGGGAAGCCTGCATCCAAAATGATCTAAATTGTATTGATGGGGGGTATTTAAACACACAAATTGAAATTTCTTAAATGGTGGTTGTAGTAAGCAGGGATTTACTTCTTTGTTTATAAGATAAATAGAAAGCTTTGTAGTTTTATTTCTCTTTATAGCTTTCTACACTAAAAAAGGTTTTATTTTGATAGAGATCAGTAAGACCCTGCAAACTTCATGAAACCAGAGAATTTCTTCACATTAAGCAGATTTCATTTGAAGACAAGTTGCAATTTGGAGAATATGGTGGGAAAGGGGGGGGGAGAGAGAGAGTGAGAGAGAGAGAGAGAGAGAGAGAGAGAGAGAGAGAATGTGTGTGAGGGGGGGGGAGAATAGGGGACTTGAAATCCTTTCGTGGTCAGGAATTTCATATTATGGGGGCTGCAGCTGAAAGTTCTAATCTGGGTCAAAATTATGGATTTTGAGATGTGGGCATTTTTAGTGTATTCAGCCTCTCTTACAACTATTTCATCACATAAGAAACCTCTAGAATTGTATAGTGTATTTGAAGAATCCACACTATACAGTATAATCCACTTATATCAACATATTTTCCAATTACGAAATTTTTCCTTCAATGTCTTCTCTAAACAATGTCTGTTATATAAACTTTTTTTCGGCCCACTCTGCTTTATCGACGTGCTTCTTGGGTACCTGGCGAAGCCCACGAATATAAATGGGGGAAAAAGCCACGCCAATGATCAACGCATTAGTTCTTCATTAAGTCCGCATACCCGCCTAGTAGCCTTTATCGACACACCAGGCTTTAGTAGGTCATGTAGGGCCTACACAGTGTAGTCTCCAACACAGTACAGGGCCTCACAGATGTGAGCGTCTCACGCGCTGGGCTTCACCTCCCTACCTCACTCCCGATCGCTCACTCCCCTTCCCCATCCCATTCGCAGTCTGCCGCTGGCAAGTGCTACGGTCAGTGAGTTAGTGCCTCGCCTTTCCATTTTCCCCAGCAAGTGGCCATAAAGAGGCCTTACAAGGATGCTACAACAAAGTTTGCGCTGGTGTGTAGTGTACGCCTTGCGCTGCTTGGTCTTTGGTACCGTAACTCAACCCCCCCTCCCCTCTGCCTCTTGTTAGTTTCAAGAATTAAGGGAAGCAACCAGCTTTTACTGCTAATCTCTCCTTGTTTTTTCCTCTTTGGCTTTATATTTTTATATATTGACATCAAATCCACTTCCGAAAGCATGTCAATATAAGCGGATTTTACTAATGTTCCACAAAAATAAGACGGAGAATTACAATGGCTAAGGCTAGTTTCAATCAATTTAATGAGCCCAGTCCTGAAAAATAGAAACATCTCAATGAATACCAAAATGAAAGTTCTTAAATGCTATGTTTGGTCAACCCGTCTATATGGCTGTGAATGCTGGACAATCGCTAAAGACAGTGAAAATAAAATAAAAGCAACAGAAATGTGGTTTCTTAGGAGACTGCTAAGAGTATCGTGGCAGGAAAAGAAATCAAATGAGGTAGTGCTTGATGAAGCCCACGTGGGACGCTCAATGTTAAAAAACAATTGGGAAACGACAAATTCAGTTTTTGGGACACATAAATAAACATAAGGGTCTTGAACATCTAGCTCTCACGGGTAAAATTGAGGGCAAGCGAGGCACGGGAAGGCCCAGAACAACATACTTGGGGAACCTAAACAAATGGGTAACAGGGAAAGATAAGGGAAACTTGGCTTTTTTTTAGAGCATCCAAGCAAAGGAATGAATGGAGAACCATGATCGCCGATGTCTGTCGCAGATCTGGCACTGGATGATGATGATGATACTGTATTTGTTTTATGTGTGAAATGTGAAATTTGGTCCTCAAATAATGATGATATCCCTCATCTGCGCGCGCGCCCCCCCCCCCCCCCCCCCGCCTGCTGATGTCATTTGCTTATAATGTATTGTTCTTCAAAAAAAAATTTCAGGAACATTGACTTTGGGGATCTTTTGTCCTCTGAGGCCAGATCTCAGCACAAAAACACCACCTATGACCTTGTTGCCAATGTTGTTCATGATGGAGAACCAGCGCAGGGCAAAGGGAGCTACCGGTGCCATGTTCTGCACAAAGTGAGTTTCTTTTAGCTTCAGTATTATTGATTTTTGTTAAAATACACCAGAAATGTAAGTCTAATGCTAATTGCCAGAATTCTGTCATTTTTCTCATCAACTAGATTTTTCAATCCTCGTCTGCTTTTTCTGTATTTCTTTAAAATTATTATTTCAACAGAAAATGGGAAACATACAGTCTTACTTTTACCTGCCGCTTATACCCTTTTGGGTGTCGCGGGAAGAAAGAGACATCTCTCTGCCACCAGCCGGAGAGCTTGGGTCAGGGGGATGCCATAAGTTGTTAGTGTTTCCCTGACTCCATCTATTCAGGTCATGGGTGGTTGGCGTGTGCTCTGGTGGGGTTTGCTTCTTCTTTCCTATCAAACATTTATCGTCCTTATCTCTCCTCCTTCTGTTTTATGTCTGTTACTCTCTTGTAACACCTCTAATCTTCTGTACTTATATGACCTTATTGTGTTGCGAGTGCCGTAGAACACTTACTAAAACCTGTCCATGTCTTTCTCGGTTGCCCTCTAGCCTTGCTGCCATTGAATTTTTTATGTAGGCACGTTGTGCTCAATGGTGTGTTGGTAATCGTGTGAGATGTCCGAACCATTTGATTATTTGGTGTTGGATGTGATGCATGATATCATTTGTGCCCACCATTTCTCGGACCACTGAGTTTCTAATCTTGTCTCGCCTGGTCTTGTTTACTGCTTTTCGAAGACATCACATTTCACATATTATAATTCTTTGCTCCCATGTCTTGTTCATGGTCCATGTTTGGCATTGATAGGTGAGTGTTGGGATGAATATGGTGTTGACCATTTTGAGTTTTGTTGTCTTGGGGATGTTATGATGTTTCAGTAGTGGAGCAAGCTGGTAACTAACATTATTGGCCCTTTGTACTCCTGTTTCAATTTCTCTGTTCAGTCACCCATCCTCTGTGAATATACTTCTGAGGTACTTAAATTCTTGGACATGTCTGAGACTGTTGTTGTTGATGTTTATCCTGAGTGGTCCTGGATTTCTGCTTACTTTCATTGTCTCTGCTTTGTTGATGTTGATCATCATGTCGTAGTTGTTACATTCTTCTTTTAATCTGGTGTTGTGGTACAGTGGAATCCTGTTATAACGAAAGGGAGGGGACCGGTACGAAATGTCCGTTATAGCAGGATTCTCGTTGTTAGGGATCCAGTAATAAATTCAAAGGAAATAATAAAGTAGGCCTAATCTATACGTTTGGTGTTCTGTTTATTTCTTTTTGTTATCTCCTCTGATGATGGCTTTGTTCAGCATGACCTCTTGGTCTTACTTGATCATAAATTGAATCAGGTTTCTTTCTCTGGCATTAGCGATGTTGACAGCTTGGCGTTGGCGATCAGAACGAAAGTTCTCTAGGCTAACTTGCCCGCTGTGTTTTCCCCCCACCCCACCACACCGTGTGGTGCATTCCCGCGTCTGCTTGCGCACGTCACACATTTGCTCCATGATCCATCACAGCACTGTGACCTCTCCATCCCTGCATCGGAGAAGTGAGAGGCATGATAGGCCTAGATAATCTAGACTAGGCTGGCCTATCACTATCAGGAAATGCGTTCTGCTTCACAACGGCTTGTCTGCGCATACCACCCCCCCACTCATTTGCTCCGGCCTGTATCGTTGGCACATGTAGGCTCTCCCATTCTTTGTTTCACTTGATCACTAAGTTTCTCAACTGGCGAGGTTTTCATGTATAAATGGCCTATGCGCTGTGTGCAGCAGCAATATTCCGCTATAACTATAACCGACTCGCGCGTTTATCTGATTACGCTATAGCAGTATTTTATTTACAAAGATAAAGAAGGAAAAAAAACCGGGGTTTTAGAATAATGTCTTTATAACAGACTTCTCGTTATTTCAGGACTCGTTTTAAGTGGACTCCACTGTATTGGACAATGTTCATCTTTGTGTGCCAGGCTTTGGGAAGAGTAACTCATTTTGGGCGTCTGGTTCTGTGTTGGCCTCTTTTGTTATTCTATCCATATATATGATAAATAGTAGTGGTGATAGGACACAACCTTGTCTTACTCCGGATGTTATCTCGAACCATTCTGTGAGTCCCTCTCACGTTCTAACTGTACTTATGCTGTTCTCGTAAATGGCACGGATGTTATCTAAATGTTGGCCTCTTACAGTGTAGTTTTCGAGTTCTTTCCACAGCGCTTCTGTTTTTTGGGCTGGTTTTAACTGCTTGTCTGACCTCTGATGGTAGGATGGTTGGTTCTTCTTCCTCTGGGTGACTTGGTTGGAATTCTTTGTTTGTTTGCTTTTGAGTGGTTTTTTTAAGTTCTGAGAAATATTCCCTCTATCTAGATTTGATTTTGGAACTGTCAGTAATGGGGTTTCCTGTTTTGTCATTAATTATAGCTGTTGGGTTGTACAGTTCTTCTCTGAGCCTCATTGATTTTACGCTTCTGAAAATCAAACACCGCTATTCTGCCTACTCTGAGATCGGCTTGAAGTTGACAGTACAGCGAGGCTGATAGTATAGTGGGTTAGCACTAATGTTTATTATATAAAGCCTCACGGGCGTCCACCAGCCTTTTGTTTTTTGGACTGATATCTGGCGACGCCAGATGTTTTGCACACATGCCGAGCTGGTGCATTTCCTTTGACGTCTCTCCAGGCGACTTAAAAATTTTCTTCCAAAGTTTTGGTTTTGAAATATTGACCACACGGGGCTCCGGCAGTGGAATTTTAGTTGTAGTGGGGGGTTCCCCGCAGAGCGCCTTATTGCGTCGGGGTCACGGGGGTCTGGTCCCTGTCGCCGCTCTGTCTGGGCTGACTCAACTTTTGGTACTTTTCAACGTACATTTTTAGGTGTATCCTTGTATATAGTAATTATCATTTAAAGCACCCAAAGCACGTATTTCTGCTTTTGAGACCCCAAAAAAGAACGGACATAGTTACTTATCTGATTATTTCGGGTTTAAAAAAATTATTATAGTAGAGGGTTTTACGGCACTCGCAACTGCATAAGGTCATATGAGCGCCAAGGGGTGGGTGTCAACAGAGAAGTCTTTACAGGGAATCAGACTTACTCTGCTCACCTCTCTAGCTTCAACAGCACAAGGTCTGCTTCAACTATCAAGGCACCCCGGAAATAGCAGGTCACAAGAGTGACAAACATACAAAAGAAGTAGAGGAAAATGACAATAGTAAGGATTAGGAAAGAAAAAGCAGCAGCTCCCTGTTGCAGATCAGACACAGTTATGAGTGTGACATGAATCAGCCCATTTACAATTCTACTGTGCTTGAACAACAAATGTCCCCCCTTTTGGAATGGCCTAAAGACACTACAGTCAGTGGCACTGCCCTGGGGGGAGGTTATTTTGTTAGACGCGCTGAAGTCGGTAATGCTAAATTGTAAATTTTTTGGGGACAAGTGTGAATGGAAAAAAAAAAAAAATCAATATAAAAAAACCGACATGACAAAAACTGTTGAACTTTTGTAACATGAACGACATAATATTGGTGCAGATACTCAGAAAGGATGGTATCTGCGCATGTAATTTTGCAACTGTATCCATCTGGCACACAATTTGCTAATAAGTAATTCCTCCAAATATACAACTTTATGTGTCTAATATAATTGTGAATATTCGCATATTTTCTGTAAAGTTTATTAAAATTACCCAGAAGTCTCTCTATGAAAAAGTACAAACCGATTTTAAAGCCTGAATACCTATATCTACAATGTAATACACGAACAGTATCTGTTACACTCCATAAATTCCTTATTTTTCTTAAAACGCTAAGTCTAGGTTTTGTAAGTTGACTGAATAACAGGGATGACTTCTCGTAATTGTGTTATAAGAATAATTTCTAGCTTTCCAGAGACACCGAATCAGCTCCAAACTTTTCCAGCTTTTATTTTGTTTCTATGACCATTTGCAATAACTGACTATGTTCTGATTTCTTTACATTCATAAATGTCCTCGCTTATGTCCGACACAAAAACTACGAGTAGGAATGAATATGTTAGCTGTCATTATTTTTTATTCCATACAAGAAGTTCATCTCTACCCATGTATTAACACAGTTTTGTGTTTTTAAAAATCGCATAATACATCTTTCTTAGTTGTATGCAGGCTGTATACAGACACAGCATGATTCATGAACAAATGCAGAGTAACTTTCTCTTGTTTGATGGTAGAACAAGAGCTAAACCTGAGTGTCTTTACTTTAAAAATGCAGATGTGCATCTTTCTTCTCTTATAATAACTTGACAATTAATACTTGTGCCGATTTAAGATTTCTCATGGTAAAAGACATGATGTTCGTAGTCAGTTTAACACAGATTTTGGAGAGATCTGTCGTGCCGGTTTAAAATGATCAATCATTTATTCATAAGTATGTAACTAAAATAGGACAAATTGGGTACTCTACAAACACTTGTCTAGAACGAAAGCTAAGGCACAGAGGTTAACCATTCTAACGCAGAATAATTCTCAAGACATTGAGCTTTTAGTACATCCGCGTAATGGTTTGCTGTGTGGAATGGGGAAGAAGATATATCGTTTCAAACATAGACAAAAATGCAAACTTCTTAACCGACACTGGCAAAGTCGCTTCAGGGCTCATTAACCCCGTGACCCGAGCCGGAGAGCTCCGACGGGCTGCTGAGTCACGCTATCTAAAAGTAACAGAATGGGGGAACCGTGACCAAAGCCTGCAAATAGGTCTAATAGCTTTTTCATAATCAGTGGAAACCGGGATCAAAATGGCGAAAAAACATTAGAAATTGGCAGAACTCACAGAAACGTGTGTGGGACAGAGATTATCAAGCAGCTACCGAGTGTGCACCGTATGTGGTGTGTACCTCTGGAGGCTAATTTGCTGGTAGTATAGCGATTTAATAGGGGCTGTACAACTCAGACAGTGTGTGGATGGCCGTGTAAAGGTACATAACTATGTTTATCTAGACATTCCCTTTCGCACATTGGCAAAACCTGGCAGTGAGTTGGGCTGGCAGCAGCATAACCAGGGGGGACTGTATAAGAAATTTGGGGCAAACATTTTGGAATTTGTGTGGACTGGATTATGAAGGTCATTTTAAGCTGAATTTTGGTGTGTTTTGGGAAGACAATCTAAGATTATTTTTTCTGGTGGCTATGCTTTCTTTGTTTTGGCTTTTGGGAGTAAGCCTTAAGCACACTTTCACATTATTTTCAGACTTCTTAATCCTAGTCACAGAAGGCAGCAAATCATGCGAGCCTTCATCATGAATTAAAAATGCTGAAGACTAAAGAGAAGCCTGCAAACTGTGTACATCCACAAAAGGAAATGAAGCTTTTACGTGGTCAACAAATGGTAAACTCTGTTCTGACAGAACTGGTCTTTATGGCCCAAGCCGAAGTCAAAATCATCTTAATACTTATTTCTTCTGTTTCTCTTGATGAAATATTCAACTCTGCAGACACAGGTCATCGTCAGACATTGATTTCTCACTGAATGTCTTTAGGCCATTCCCAAAGGGATGATCACTAAGATCAGGCGATCCGTATCTTTTAAGAGTTCCTATAAAAAGGGGGTAAAAAATTAGCTGAAAGATCGTTTGCCCACCTTGCTCCATCAGTTTGGAACTCTCTTCCCCAACCCTTGAGACATACAACATCTGAGTCTAAATTTTAAAAATCTTTAAAGACACATTTAATGACATCATTTTTATGTCGGTAGATTCATGTTCGGTACAATGTTATGTAAATGACTATGTATCCATTTATGTATTTTGTGAATTGCATTGTGTATAATATTATTTTATTATATATGTGCTCATTTCGTGACAATGTGTAAGCGTGCGCGTGTGATAAGCAAGTAGGTGTGTGTGCGTGTGCGCGCGTGTGTGTGTGTGTGTGTGTTTGGCGTACATGTGTGTGCACATGTGTGTGTGTGTTATGTGTGCGTGAGTGTGTGTGTGTTTGTGTGTGTGTATGTGTGTGTGAGTGTCACGTGCATGAATATTTTTTGTTCATGCATTTATGTAAAGCGCCTAGAGCTGTGTTTACACGGGAGTGGGCGCTATAGAAATGATCTTCATTCTTCTTCTTATTATTACATTAACATGTTCTTATGCACTGTAGAATTGTAAATGGGCTGATTCATCAATGTCATGCTCATAACTATGCCTGAACTGCAACAAGGAACTGCTGCTTTTTATGTTTTTCATGCTCTCGTGACCTGCTATTTCCGGGGTGCCTTGATAGTCGAAGCAGACTTTGTGTTGTTGAAGCTAGAGAGGTGAGCTGAGAAAGCCTGATTCCCTGTAAGGACTTCTCTGTTGACATCCACCCCTTAGCGCTCATATGGCCTTATGCACTTGCGAGCGCCGTAAAACCTCTACGAAAACTAAAAAACTGGGACAATGTTTTTATTTCTGTATTTTGTTGTCAAAGGAATCTGACAAGGATTAATATTTGCTTAACTTAAAATGAAACTGACACGGTGCTCTCGCATTTGTTTTAGGGTCAAGGCAAGTGGTATGAACTGCAAGATTTGCATGTTGCTGATATTCTGCCTCAGATGATCACGTTGTCAGAGAGCTACATTCAGGTGGGTGTTTGTTTGTTATTTCGAATGACTCACTTAGTGTAGAGGTGGTTGTTTTAAAGGATGAGCACTTAATCATTCTTCAGTACTCGTGAGTGGTTAGCAGATGCTCTGGTGTGGTTTGTTTTCTTCTTTCCTTTCTTTTTTTCTTTCTTTCTGGGCGTTGTTCGTCCACTGCAGGATGTTGCCCTCCAACAATTACTGCCACTGTTTTGTCCGCTGTTTTCTGTGTCCAAGTTGTAGCCATCTGTTCTTTGATGTCATCTTGCCATCTTCTTTCTGGTCTTCTTCTGCATCTTTTTTCTCTTCTTGGTCTTTATTCCGTACCTCTTTTTGTTCATCTGTTGTCCTTCTTTCTGCCCATGTGACCAGCCCTTTTCCTTTTTTGTTGTAGTGTAAATTAGGGGATATCTGTTACTCTTTCGTAATTTTGCGCTATTTATTTGATCTCGTATTCCTATGCCCAGCATCTTCCTTTCCATTGCTCTTTGTGTTGCCCTTTATTTTTTTAATGATATTTCTGGATATTGGCCAGGTTTGGCACCCATAGTTTAACTCTTTTTATCCGGGCTACATGTATACTCGTAACGAGGACCAGTCCGGGCTACGAGTAAACTCGGAACAGCTATAGGGTCACGACAAAGAAGCTAGTTCTGCTTGTAATTACCAAAATACGCAAATACGGCAAATACTCTGTCTGATTATTTAAATTTTATAATGAAAAGCGGTTTGTTTGTTTTTGATGGATGTAAAAGCTTGAAGGATGTCTCAAAAACGCACGTTCACAATCGATGAAGTACTTTTTAAAAGTGGCGCTGGGTTGTGACGGAGAATGAGACTAATTTGATGAATCAAGTGCCTTAAATTCTGTTGTGGATGATAACTAACAGGACTTAGACTCATGTAATAGCGATTCAGATCATGGTGAAGGGGTCAGTACTGGAATTCGTGCTGTACTGATGGGTAGGGGTAGATCTACATAGGCTTAAATCCGAGGGGACGTCAACGACGCGGCAATCGGGGTCAAGTTGGAAGGTGGAATGCACCTCAAAATCTACATTGTGCAATTGGTGTAATTCCTAACCACATACATTTACCAAAACTACATTAAATTTCTCACATAACTGCCAAATTACCTTAAAAACCTAAGAGTAAATGTAAGAAATACAGCACTTTGAAATATACACACAGAATTCCAACTCATATGGCACGGTGGCCCCAGGATGGGTACCGAGTCCGTGGGGGTACGGCCAGGATAAAAAGAGTTAATTGCTTGGACATTGCTGTGATTGAAAACTTGTCATTTCAGTGACATTGGCAGATTTTGATCTTAAAATTTTTTAAACGTATTTTCAAAAGGAACTATTCTTTCCTATCAAACATTTGTAGTCCTTATGTCTCCTCCTTCTTTTCTTTGTATGTTACTCTCTAGTTACACCTCTAATCTTCAGCTTTTATTTGACTTATGTGTGTTACGAGGGCTGTAAAACTTTTACAAAAGCTCTTACTTAACACATCAGGACTCTAGGTTCAGTTGAAATATTTTAGGAAGAAAGAGAAAAAGTGTAGTCTTTCTCAATGGAAGTTTCTTGCACTCCAGCTCTCTGCATGTTTGTCAACCTATAAAAATTACATGACAGTTGCTGTAGAAGTCTTTTCTCCATTTATTGTTATGTAACCTTGCAATGATTTTCCCACTGAATAAAGTGACTGGTGAATGACAGGAACAATTTTCTTACCTTATATCAAGAAACAAGATGGAATTAGCCATTTAAAAGTAAGTTAAGCTATTTAATGCATGCCTTTTGTCTCAAAGGCCAAACTTTGTACTATATATTGATTGTTATTGTTTTTTTGTGCTAACAACACAATTTTAAAAAAAATGTATGTATACTTGCCAGATCTTTGAAGTGCGGAAAGACATTCCCAATCCATTATATAACCCAGCTGGTGCCAGTGAAGTCGAGGAAGGTGGCGTGGTGTCAATGGAAGTTTCTGGCACTGATGGATCTGAGAATAATTCTACAGAGGAACAAAAGTGAAGTCATAACCCCTGCAATAATGCTGCATTCAGTTCTTTACACGAGAAGTTTTCTTTACTCGTCCCAGAAAAGATGTTTGGTCCATTTCTGTTCTCTCAATATTGCTTTTTTGATATAATGAGGGGTAAAAAGTCAGTATTGGTTCCATTTGCAGTATTACTGTTTTCCTATAAAGGAATTTTTGGGGCCGTTTTTTATTCATAACCACTGGCTCAGTATCCAGATCAGCCTCCTTGAGAGTTGACAGAAGTGAAGAATAAAGACAACAGCAAACTTCATTGTTTTTGTCTTGCATTTGCACATTTTCTGTTACACTCCCTTCTTCAGTCTCCACAGAATTCTCTTTCTTTGAAGCAGGCTGATTCTGTTTAAAATTTATTAATTTATAGGAAAAGGTCTTAAATAAAACGTCTGTGACACCACAGCTATTATGTAAGCTAAAGACTGCTTTGGTCGGCTGACAATGCTTAAAATAAGGTTTTAAATATGTGTGTGTGCCTGGTGAAAGGTACTAAATGACGCATTTTAAAGAATCCTGTTTTTGGGGTTTTTTTTGCATTCTCATGTACAGGGATCATTTCTGAACAATATGCTTTTTGAATTTCAAAGATATCTTCAGTAGTTTTTGAGATATGGGTGATTTTATAAGGCAGGGTACGGAAACAAAGTTTTGAGAAAAATGGCTTTAAAGTTTCCCCTTTGTTTCTGCTTCAAATAGATAGATCTATGCTTCAAGACAACCCGACAGCTCATTCGCTACTCAAAAACCAACTTTAAAAAGCAGCTAAGATAAAAGAACAACTTCAAAATGTTTATATTACATCTTCAGAACATATTCACCACCACCTTGAGCAAAAATGTTCAAGAAATTAGATCCAGGTTTGCACGGGGCAGAAATATGGGATACAAGTTTTTTCTCCAAAAAAACTAAAGGGTGTGGATGTGCAAAGCTTCGCTTTATTTACATGTTCTAGATATTCATGCGCACTACTCGCCGTTGGAGAGGGGAGAGAATGACCTAAATTTTGGTATGCGTTGTGATTGGGTCGACTTTATGAATGGACAAGAGAAACCATCTGCAGTGTGTACTCAGAAAAAATTCTATTTTTGACCTTTGAAGCCTGATATCTTGGTAAGAAAAAATGCGTCTTTTGGTACCTTTCACCAGACACCCTCACACATATGCCTGCCTGAAAAGCATGAGACACCATATCATTGTAGGAAAATCAGTTATATTATGTAGCTTGCAATGCCATTCCAGTCAAAAGCTACCAGTACCTTATGTGACCCTCCCGGTCAAAATCAGTCATATATATAAAGGAAATTTCAAAGTTGAGTGAACATAATTTCCAAAAACTATCACCATTTCACTATAATTTGAAAAAAAAAAACAACAACCCCAAAGTAAATAAGGCAATATTTGACGAAAATATGTGCGGAAACACGAAATGAACATGTTTCCATAGCAACGGGGGTCTTAGAATTGAGGTAGAGACTTGAAATTTGGCAGTTAGCTTGGCTAGGCCACCACAAGCCTCGAGGCGTAGTGTAGGTGCTGTCTGTAGCAAATGTACGTTCATAATGTATCGTAGCTTTTCCTTATTGGCTACGAGCAGACACTTCTTTTGTTAATTTCCTAACAGAATGTTCATTAGCCAACTGTACCTCTACTTGCTTTAAACTTTCCCATTAGGCCTACCTCGCCTACGGCTAAATCCCGCTGTCTCTTTCATAATCAAAGTTTGTTGAGGAGTTAATCTAATCCTACTCTGAACCCCAGATTTTTTGCAAACCCCTTGTCTCCCTTTTCCTGGCATTTTCTTCAATTCAGAGGCAAACTTAATGTCTTCTGCTGACCTCGATGGTCCAGCAACATTTGCTCTCATATCTTCTAGCAATCGCGATTGTCTTCTCTTTGTAGGACAGTTGTTCGGGACCTGAAAATTTGTTTGCTATGTATGTGCATGTTCTACCATGTGAGTGTTCACAATTTGCGAGTTAGACTATGTCTTTCGGGCATATGGATGTATTCTTTCCTTTCTGACAGGATAGATAATGTATTAAATGTGGTCTAGCATTTATTATATCTTTGTGTTGTTAGAAATGGGAAATTCTTAAAGACTGAACTTCTTAAATGCATAAATTGCGAATGATTATTATTATAAATGATTAATGTTGATGATTCAGTGCAGCCTCTCTATAACAACATCGTCAGGACCTGAAAAAAATGTCATTATAGAGAGTTGTCGCTATAGGGAGGCAACCAAGAATGCAACGACATGACGTGGGGACCAGTGAATTTGAAGTTCCCTTGTTCACTGTGATTAGCGATAAGGGGTACTGATAGTGGGTCGATAGCACTGTCTCTTATACTTAACAACAGGCTTCGAGGGGAGTGGATATCATTGGTTGGCTAGTCAAACGTTTTCATTGGTTGGAAAGCAAACGTTTTTACTTGCTTAAGAGTACAGAATTTCATTGGATCAGAAATTTCGTCTTCACTGTCAATTTCAAGTTGCCGATTACCGCCATATCGATGTCGCTATAAATGGTTTTTACTAGAATTATGTCGTTATAGTAAGTTTTTTTTATCGCTAATATATAAGGTAAAAATTGGGACCGAGGCAACATGTCATTATATTATATATACAGAGGATGTTGTTATATCGAAGTTCGTTAAAGAGAGGCTGCACTGTATCTTTTTTAAACCTTGTAATAAAAATGGTATTGCCTGCCTGTATTGACATCAGAATTCTTCAGATGCCTTTGTGTACATTGTATGTTCATGTTTACTTAATGCTTTTAAGTGGATGGGTCAGTGATTTGAAGCTGATCTGATTGACAGTACCATTACATGTATAAACTCCAACTTATACTGCCTACTTTGGGACAAACGGGAAGTTGGCGGTAGGATACATGTACCACTGTTTGCCATCTTGATTAGTGGTTGACCAGTGGACATTAGATACAAACTGTGGCCAGTCTTGAATCATCTAGATCAGTCTAGATCAGTCTTGCTTGCTTGCCAAATGCATTGGAAAAATGAGTAGCAACCCATTGAACTTTAGAAGTATTCAAATTCAAACTGAAAATATCTTCCGGTGCAGAAGCTACACTACAGTAAATATGTGCCAAGGACCCTTAGACATACATTTTTTTTACTTGATACTCGTCAGTCCTCGGGCCGCCTCAGAACTTTTACACTGACTTGAGCACGAGTTCCCACAGTATAAAAATCTCGCAAGAGCTGTCCAGCCTTTTGGACTTTGGGCTGATATCTGGCAAAGATATTTTGCAGACTGCCAAAGTGGTGCGTTCCTTTAAACTTTTTCCTGACAACTTCAAAATTTCATTCCAATTTTATTTTAATTAAGTTTTGGGCAAGGCCTAAAAATTATAGCATTTTTTCATAATCAGCAAGAATCAGGAACAAGTCAGTAACAAATGCTAGAAATAAGCCGAACTGGCAGTGGAGATAAGTGTATGGGAAAGAGATTATCAAGCAGACACCGAGTGGGTGCCGTGCACTGTGCATGGTGTGTGCCTCCTGGCTGCTAATTTTCCCTCTATATCTCTTTGTAAATGTACGTCGGCTCCAACGAGGTTGCAAACAGAACAAAGTCGCTTTCAATGAGGTCGCGATTTATCAAATAAAAGTAATTAGCGGCCCCAAAAGCGAAGAATTTTTCTCCTTTCTCTCCATCTCACGCGAAGCACAAGGTCCATCCTCGATTCCTAACACGTTGTATTGCTAGATCTAGTGTGCTTCCTAATATATGGGCCCCAAAGTCAAGAGGATGGGCGAGGGTTAGCCTATGATAGGGATGAGAGGGGGTGGGTTGGAACATGATGCGGGCTGTGTGAAACTGGATGAACTCTGGATGTGAAGGTCTAAATTGAGACCTTCATTTTTTTTTTCAATTTTCTTTTCTTCCCCTGATCAGAAAATCCAAGCTCTCGCCTTTACTTTATGTAGATCTAGGCCTAGACGTGAGAGGGTATGTTTCCATAAGAGAATTTTTCCGGAAAAAAAAAAAAAAGTTGAACACAGTCACGCGCACACTGATGCTTTTTGAGATTTTCGTCATCAGGGGGAACAACTTTTAATTACTGGTATTGGTACATCGTGTAATATAATAACTTGTATCCTTTCTGTTCTTTAGCCTTAATCACGTTCAACGAGAGGTCGGATTCAATGAGGACAACAAGCCAGTCCCGGCAATCTTGTTGAATGCGACACTCACTGTACTTACCCAGAAACGTGCCACTGGTTTGTTTTTTTTCCCGAAATTTCCGGTGGTGTATTTCAGCTTGTATGGAGAAAAAATGGCCATCACCTTCTTGAATTTATTTGGCCATATCAATTTTGTATAAATGTATTCTTCAATGCATAAATAGTGACTATTTGAAATAAAGCAACATGGTTGATTTTTTAAAATTTGCAAATTTTTGCGTTTCACTCAAATTGTGGTTGAAATTTTTAAATTGTGAGATTTCTCGAACTTGTCAGTTGATTCTTTTCCTTTTGGCAAATGTGTAGTCCCCGTGGTTGAATTTTATTTGTTCAAAATTTTGTTAAAACTGGTCCAAATATGACTGAGTTATTGCCGTTATGTGTCCCCCTTTTTATTTTTTAGACGTCCAGTACTGGTAAATCGTTCAAAAGGAGGAAAGTGCTGTATTTGCAGCTTCATGGTGAAATCAGGCATTCGTCAAAATAATGAAACCAAAGAAACCGCTATTTTCTGTCTGTTGGGAAATTTTAAAATCATTTTTTGGGGGGGGGAGGGGTGTATACACATTTCCACCATACGCTGACAAAACCGCTTTACTTTTTTCATTTTGGCGCTGAGTATTTTTATTTGCAAAATCAAAAGCCTGATTTGTTACCATACTTACTTGTCTGAAGAAAATCAAAGTGAAACTGTGACTAGTTTTTGAATAAATTAGAATTCAAATTTTGGAAGCACTATTTTTCAATGGTTACACTGTCCAAAATTTTTAATTCACTGCTGTGAATTTTTAAAAAGGCGTATTGTCAGTTTAAACTTACAGCAGATTTAAAATTAATGTCTGTTTGAAAACACATTTTCATATGAATTTAAATAGAAAAACAAACAACTCCACCCCCACCCAAAAAATATGAATTTCAACGTACACTCGTTTGGAACTCGCCTAACTTTGGTGGACATTTTCTTACTAATTTTACCCCTGGCACCAGGTGACTTGACTTCCTCCTCATTCAATAGTGGATATTTCATCTTCTATTCAAGGTACACAGATTTTTTAAAATCGAAAGCAAGACAAATTAACATGCTTTTGAGTTTGAGATAATACCAGTAGCTTCATGTGCCCAAAAATGGACACGCTCCTGATTCCACCATGACGTGATACATAATATATGTATGAACGTGTACTTGTATACATATAGTCCAAAAGAAGGAAAACTATTACTAATGTACTTGTAAATAGTACAAAATGAGAAAACATAAGAGAGGAGGAAGTAAGGAAAGGTGGAAGAATGAAGAGCAGTGAGGAAAAGGAAAGACACATGATAAATTACTCTTACTTTACTTTTCCGATCCAGCGGCCATTTGGGTTCTAGCCCTTCGGTCTGGCTCCTTGGCCACAAATGAGACACCTGCCCTGCCAAGTCTGCAGTCTGTGGTTCGTGTGGCAAGAGAGGCCACTATAAAGCAGTTTGCCGTAGCCACCCTAAAGTTCATAAAGTCGCAGTCAACTCCTACCACGAAGCTTGATATTGGTGCTGCGGTCTCTGTCATCAGAGACAGAAGTGTGGAGACAAGCCGAACTCTCAATACATGTAGCTGCAACAAAATTAAAAAAGGCCCTGATGACACAACTCTGTCTACTCTTGGCACCTTTGAGGCTGATGTAAAGTTCAAAGAAAAAGCCATGAAAGAAGAGACTATATTCGTTGTAAAAGACCAACCACATGCCCTACGCAGCAGGTCAGCTTGTGTAAAAAACTAAAACTGGGTCTCATTGCCAGGCTCAATGAAGTGCACGAGACATCTCCTGGTTTCGAAAGGGAGTTCCCAGATGTCTTCAAAGGACTAGGACTACCGAAAGTGAAAGACCCATACACGATCAAGCTACAGGAAGGCGCTGATCCTGTGTGCTTGTACATAGCACGAAAAGTCGCACACCTTCTACTGCCAAAAGTCGAGACCGAAATTGACCGAATGCTGGCTGAAGGCGTGATCTCACCCGTAACTGAGCCCACAGAATGGTGTTCCGGCAAGGTTGTAGTGACAAAGAGAAACGGCTCAGTTAGAATATATATATACATATGTGTGTGTGTGTGTGTGTGTGTGTGTGTGGACCTCACCAGTCTAAACAAGGCAGCGCAGCGAG